TTTGCAGCCTCAAAACTGCAAAAGTGAAAGACTTTGCTTTGAAGAGAAAGTTACAGAGTATCGTGTTCCAGAATGGCATATTGGCAGCCTCACCAGGTTCCAGAATGCCAGTGGCATAGAGAATTTGTTCCTTAGAATCAAAGTCAGAGTGCCCAGTGATCCAGGCACACAACACCTACAGCCAGGGGAGAGCAAAAGCCTGCCTACTGCTCCAGGGGGCAGCAGACCTTGGCATCTTCCACATGGTGCTGATTTTAGGTGCATGCAGAATACTAGAGATATGGGGTTGAAAATGGTTCTACCTCAATTACAGACAGCCTGGGGTGATGGAGACCACTATGAAGCCGCCCTGGGCAGGACTTAAATTAACCAATGGACTTTCCATGTTTACTTGTGAGTCTCTCCAAGGCCTAGGCTCTTTGCCTGGAGATGGGTGGTGGACTCATAATAAGTGAACTTCTGTGAGTCACTAATCCCTACTAAGGCCTGTAATGGCTGATGAAGCCAGAAAGCCTCAAAGGATAAGACAAGATCACAGCCAAGGACACCTGCATCTGATCCCAACTAGATAAAGACTATAGCTTCAGGCATCTCACTCCTGGGTGAATTAACTTAATACCTTACCTGGAGAAGTCCTTGAGTGGTTCTGCCCTTCTTGTGTATTTCATTCCCTTTTTTTGATAACTAAGTTAACACAGGCCATGGGGGCTGGAGGGGAAAAAAGATAACTGGCTCCTGAACAGAGACATATAGTCCTTGGACTGGAAATTTTTAGCCTGAAGGAGTAAGTCTACTGTTGTGGTTGATACACTGTGTCAATTTGAGGAGTCCAGGGGCTTGGCTAAGTGACTCAGCAGTTCTATATCCTGAGCCTTTGCAAGAGGAGAGCACAGAGATGGTGTGGGTCTTGATGGATAGCTGGCATACAATATAAGGAGGGAAAAGAGGCTTGTTCCCTGCCCTTTTTGCTCTTGCTGCTTTTGTTGTCTTCTGCCACCAGGAACTGTTGCTCTCTCTCATGTGCCACCTTGCCTTACAGCCAGTTGAGTGTGGACTGAAACCTCCACAAACTGTGAGCAAAATAAACATTTTCTTCCTTAGTTTTGGGTATGGGGTATTTTGTCCAGGCAACAAGAGAAAAGTAACCAAGACATCTACCTAGAGTGGAAAGTGTGGGAGATGGAGCAGGCTTTCTCAGGATGAAAACTGGTCCAGGGATACCTGTAGTAAGGAGGGAATAGGAACATTCCACAAGGAATAGGGTAAGTCTCTCTGCTGTGAACAAACCATTTTTAACCAGAAGCAAAACGGGCCAAAAATTTTGAACCAAAGAACAAAGATGCATAAAGCTGCTTTTAGGTATGCTTAAATGCTCAGGGGCTCATGTGCCCAAAAAAGACCTAACAAAAATGTTATAAGAGGTAATCACATATAATTCATGGTTTCCTCAGATAGGTCCTGTAGATATTGACAATTGGAAAAGAGCTGGAAAAAGTCTTTAAGAGGCACATAGTACAGGAAAACTCATTTCTCCTGAGACATTTTCACTGGAAATCTAGTTCACTCAGTTGTAAGTCTGCTGCAGAGCTTACAGTCAAAAGCCTCTGACTCAGATATAGAGGAAACAAAAGATCACCCAGCAGAGAAACTTAGGCAGGAGCAGGAGCCTTTCAAAAGAACATCCCACATGGCTCTATGTAGAAATTTGCAGACTTTAGAGGAACAAGCATCAGCAAAAGGAGAAATCATTGGCACCCCTGCTTACTTCACAGTTGGAACTCAGCAAAATGATCACAATGAAATTGTTTCTCATTTGCCTTTTGAAATTCAGATGCTGAAAACTCTCAAAGTGTTGTTCAAATTCTTCTTATAAGAGATCTCTACTAATTGACCTATAAAAAAAAAGTTCTGAGTAGTCTTGTTATGATTACAAACTTAAAAAATTATTGTAATTGGGCCAAAATAGATTTGAGTGCACTCTGACTTTATAAGCAAATTGCTGTGTGTGTGTTTTTATCTCTCTGTCTAATCTGTAAACAGCTGTTTTATCTGAGCTCAACAAATTTTTCTTCTTTCTGTATTTTTGAAGCATTTGTCTATAATTTAATTTGGCTTACAGGTAAATGTCATCTAAAATTAATAATATGCTTTCACCAAGGTTGCCAGTTGGTCAAAATGATGTCAAAATTAGCTTTATAAGTGTCATGCTTATTGTCATTTATGTATTATGACTTGAGAATCTCTCATTGTTCAAATTTAATGTGTCAAGTATTGAGATTCCATTTTCATGTGTTATCAAAATTTTATTAAGATAATTAAACAAAAATAGGGTGAGGAGAAACAATTGGGCAGGACTCCAATTAATAAATAAAGAAGCAGCTGCCTGCAGAGTCCAGCCACAGGCAGGAGATAGGAGCAGCTGCTGCCTACCATTGATCATGAAGGACAGGGAACAGGCTCAGGGAAACTCAGGGAGGTTTGCATATCACATTCCTGCTTTTCAGCTCAGCATTTCTGTCTCACTGTCTTTGAGAACTGTTGTCAGGCTGGGTCATGAATCATGGGCCAAGGCTCAGCAGCACCTTCAGAGTGGAGCATGGACAACAGCATGGGACAGTGAGCTCAGGGCCCACGGCCTCTGTCTCTCCGTGAAACTCTCCTCCACACAATGGCAGGTCAGGTGACACGCTGGGCAACAGGGGCACCTAAGTGCAGCTTGGGTCACACCAGGCACACTGGCTGCGTGCAAGGTGACATCTTCTCAGGTGGGGTAGACCTTCACAGCAGGGTTTGTCTGTTGCTCCTGTGTTATGGTCACTCTGAAGCAAGAGTAGCAGCTGCATGAAGAGCTGTTTGACACTCCCTTCACACTCCTGGCATTTCTCCAGAGCATGGAGGCTTCACAGAGAGGCACTGAAGTGCACCTAGAGGATGAGGGTGCACTTGTGGAGTTGGGGGTTTGTCCTTTCAGGACTCATTCTGATTCCATGATGTTACAGGGTTTGGGGGTGCTGGAGTCTCCGTCTGGATGTAGTCTCCAGGTTCTATCTCTCCTCAGCAAAGAATGGGTCAAGACAAGTGCAAATGGCAGCAAGGTTTTATTAAAGGTAGCAAAAAGAAACAGGCTCTGCACAGGGAGATTGGGCCAAGTAAAAGTAGGAAAAGGCGTATGTACTGCATGCTACGGGCTGGCCATCCATGCAAGAGAGAACACAATGACCAAAACTCAATGGTAAATGTAATTTTGTATCACCCGCTCCTCAAACTAAGGCCAAGTCTTGGCCAACCTATCAAAATCCTGCTTCATTTCTAACAAAAAGTCCATGAGTAGGGCTTTGGGAACTGTCCTGTGCATGTGTCCTGGGATTTTACAATTAAGAGGTCACACCTACTTCCCCAGCCAGCTTTGCTAGGCCCTAATCTCCTGGCTCATTTCCCTGAGAGCCACCTGGCCCAATAATTCTTTATGGGGTGCTGATGGAGTGCAGCTCTCTGGTCTCTAGAGCTTCTTCTTCCAGCTGAAAGGAGCTGTAGAGCCTCTGTACTGGGGAATATATGTTCTCCAAGTA